TGTTTTTTCAGTGCATTCATGGGGTGGTATCAGAGAGTTACAAGGGTCTGTAAATGCAATGAAAACATTTATATTAAACATGTAATTTTTACTTTTGAATACTTCAGTACAAAGGATGTATTGATTAATTTAAGTGATATATGTGTACACATAGGCCTATACATCATTCATTAGTCAAAACAGGGCTACATTTGATTTAATTATAAAAGGTATAATATGTGGTAAACTGAAGAGCCGTTTGGGAGCCAAAAGAGCCGGCTCTTCTTGGTGAGCCGAGCCAAATGATCCGGCTCACCAAGAAGAGCAGGAATTCCCATCACTAGTGTGTCCGTCAGGAAACACGCTGTGTACAATAGTTCCAGCAAACATCCACTGATAAACTCCGATGTTAACAACCTCATGATAACCTCATATGTTTTAACTTAGGATCATACCTGTGTTTAGTCTAGAAAAAGGTAAATGTGTGCATTTTATTATAAAGTTGTGTATATTTACCGATATTTACAGACTGTTGCAAAAACTAAGAAGCTTATAAACATCAGGTTTAAAACTAAAAGAGCTTTGCAAAAAAGTAACACAATGAAATATGTTTGGAGTTTTATTTGAGTTATTAATTTACATTTTTTGTCTAAGAGATGCCGATTTGAAACCGTTGTTACATACAGTTACGGCATTTCCTGTTTCTGCCGGAGAGACGGGAGGCCGTCCCAAAGCTTGCTGCTGTATTTACTCCCTCCATCTGACAGGAGGGAGCCTCGTCGAGCTGCGAGTGTGGCTACAGACGGAGTTCACTCCGTCACAGAGGGGTAGGGTCGAGGGAGTGATTTGGGATTGGGCCCTACGGTTGAACTGAAGCCAAACGGACTACAACTTCCGCGAAGCACCCGACTAAAAAAGAACTACTGCGCATGCCCAGACCAAACGGTCGCGCGGAGTTTGAGTTTTGCTTGAATGGCTGAAGACGGAGTGTTTTTAATATTTTAGCCATGTAGAAATGGCAGCACAGTTAACATTATCAGGGCCTTCGGATTCGGCTCTATCGTCTCTAACCGACGAGTCTGTGTCCAGTCGGACCAGCAACAGAAGTTTGAGAGTCGCAGAAAACGAGAGGAGAAAGAACGAGGCGGTGGACCCGTCTGTTCTGGCCCTGAAGTACTTCTCTGACGGTAGTGGACTCAACTCAACGGTCGATAGGAGATGATGCTTTTATTGTTACCGATCTACTCAAGATAAATACGTTAACCCTTGCCTTTTGAGTTCTAGTATGATGCATACAAATAGTCCGGGATAACAAGTTACTTTCTTGTTGCTTTTTGGGTGTAACTTTACTGAAAGCTTGCATAGCTACTTATTAGCTCCCAAATCAGTGGAGAAGGGAGGCTAACCAAAACAAAGTTAGCCTCAGCATTGAGGAGGCAACGTTGGTTATTTACAGACACGGACAACAACATTATTATTAAAATCCAGTGGTTTAATGTAATATAATTTACTTGAGTACTGTACATAAGTATTCATTTGAGGTACTTGTACTTTACTTGAGTATTTCAATGTTATGCTAACGCATATTTATACTCTGCTGCCTTGTTCTTTTACTGGAGTACAATTTTGAAATCAGGACTTTTACTTGTAGTGGATTGTTTTTAAGACCATAGTATTTGTACTTTTAAAGGATCTGAGTACTTCTTGAAAATACTGTTAAAAGCTTGATAGCAGAGGAGAAACTCGGTGTTTGGTGATGTAATCTGTTGTATACTTAATATGAGACCCAAACTTTTGTTAGGGGTTTGCTTCCAAATAAGACTTATCTGACCTAATTATTATTGCACTATACAATGTTACTGCAATTTATAACTAAGATCTTGAGATAAGAATATTGACAATATTCTTCAGATCCACAGTGTAAATGATGCACAGGAGTATCTTAATTATTAATACTTAGACTTTTGAATTAATTAGGCATGTACTTTTAAAACTAAAACAGACAACTAGAAATTAAAACACAATGTTACTTGTGACTCCTGTTTCTATAACATTGTACCAGAGTGGCTTACACAATTTGTTCGTGCAAGACAGCATTCAGATAGTTTGCTCCATTTTTTTTTGTTGAATAATTGGAATACATATTTCCTGCCTTTTCACAAAAACACATCAATGTGATTATTAATGTTAAAATTGTTCCAGGATTTGTTTCTAGATGACATCAACACTACAGACTGTTTTATGTAATGCTCAACAGTCAATTAAGAAACCATCACATTCCAAAATATTATGTGATGGATTTTATGCTCTGCTAAACTGTTATATCTAGCCGTTTTCATTTTCTAGTAGGGATGTAACGATATACCGAATATCGCGGTAAATAAACGTCCCAATACCGTCGTGAGGCTGACAAAATCTACCGCGATTTTACGGTATTATGCCGTGTGTGCATGCACCTCGCGGGAACGCGCACAGAGTAAAGCAAAAGCTCCCAGACATGTATTGATCTGTATGGCAAAGTACGGTTTGGAAACTATATCATTTCCTTTTGGAGGGCATGCATACCACGACCTAACACCAGAGCCTCGCTGCGGGAAACGTTGGCGCTGTTCCGAGTTTGTTCTAATCTGTCAAAATGACAGACTGCTTTCAGATTTGTCTGTCATTGTTAAAAAAAATCCGTCATAGACGAAGAAAATA